TTCCTTTCAGATGAAGGAGCAAGTTCAGGCAGTTTGGTTTGCCCAAGTTCAACTAGCAAATAGGGGAGGCAGAATTTGAAATCAGATGTCTGACTTGCAAGTTCAGCATTTGCAACTGGAAGAGGCCTTAGCAACCACCCTTATTAAGGAGATGAGGAGACAAGGACTTATGTCAAATGACTTTTCCAGGCCCAAGACACGGGGAAATCCAGCCAGGCAGCAAGTGTGTCAGCCTATGCATGCGCACTCAGTTGCTCTGTCATGCCTCACTCTTTGCGACCCCATGGACCCCCACCAGGCCCCTCTGTGCATGGGACTTCCCAGCCAAGAACACTGGAGCGGGTTGCCATTTCCTCCTCCAGAGGATCTTCTTGACCCAGGGATCGAACCCACGTTCCTGTGGCTCCGCATTGAGAGGTGGACTCTTTACCACTGAGCCGCCTGGGAAGCCCATGTCAGCCTATAGGTTTTTGCTATTTCACTTCTCTCTTCCTCCAAATGGCTTTGTTCTCTTTATTGATAATATTGAACATGCTGTTCACTAAAGACCATTTAACAATTCTTCAGAGGGTATAAATTATAAATAAAAAGGAGTAGAGGATCCCAGATTAAATTTAAGAGTTTCTTAATTCAGATCTGGGACTTTTTCAGTTAGAACATGTAGGCTTCTACTAACATCTGCCTAAACATAAACAAAACTGCAAATGAAATGGGTGATCCTGCCAGTTCTATAGCAGTGATGATACAATGTCATAACTTGCTGTGAGCCATCCCAGTAGAGTCAGAATCCTCTTAGAAAAATCCTCCAGCCTCTATCCTTCATTTTATATGACAGCACCTATTAGCAACTAGCTAATACTTAATTTTTAGAGACAGGTACGGTGCACTAAATGACTTGTCTGCATTAAATCTCATTTAATTCTTACTGCAAGAAGATGGACACTTACTCTACAAGCAACAGTCCGCCTACACTAGCCTTACTAGCAATGAATTTTTAAAAATGCATCATTTATTTTTGGTTGCACTGGGTCTTCACTGCTGCGTGAGCTTTCTCTAGTTGCAGGGAGCAGGAGCCTCTCTAGTTGTAGTGCGTGGGCTCCTTATTGCGGTGGCATCTCTTGTGGAGCACAGTCTCCAGGGCACGTGAGCTCAGTAGTTGGGCCACACAGGCTTAGTTGCTTTGGGGCAGGTGGGATCTTCCCACACCAGGGATCAAGTTCGTGTCCCTTGCAGGCAGGTTCTTACCCACTGTACTGTCAGGGACGTCCTAGCAATCGTCCTAAGATACGACTATGATGGTCCTGATGTGGACCTCAGGGACCTCGGGCTAAATGAGGGGCGCCACTTCCTGGAGCATTGACGTTACTTGACGGTAACTGAAGATTTTTCCCAAAAGTTCTTTACAGAAATTTATTATGAATGCGAAATTCACATGGATTCTTTCTTTTAACCTAAAACAAGAGATCAGAAAAACAAGTCCTGTCTGGAGGTGGAGAGGAAGGCAGCTTCAGGCTGTGTTCTTTTGCCTCAGCGAATCCTTTTTTTTCCTTAAGGTGGACCATTTTAAAAGTCTTTATTGAATTTGTTACAATATTGCTTTTTTTTTTTTTTTTTTACCTTTTTGGCCCCTGGAGGTATGTGGGATGTTAGCTCCTCCATCAGGGATTGAACCTTCACCCCCTACACTGGAAGGTGAGGGCTTAACCTCTGGTCCACCAGGGAGGTCCCTCACGGAACCCCTTTCGGCGGAGAAGTTTGAGGGGCAAACCGAGAAGGCCACAAAGCACTGGGCTGGGGGGGCGGGAGCAAGTCTTCAATGTCGCCTTTACCTGTTTACATTTTTTAAGAGCCCTCTTTCCCCTCATATACTGTGTATACGATCAGTATTTAGGCCAGCTGGACTGGCAATTTCACTTCCACAAATAACATATATACACACATTTGAACATGAAGCTTCAGAACTGTCTTACAGAAGATTGGCTGGGGTAGATTCTGGGGAAAGTTTTGCTCATTCCTTCCTTCACTCATTCCTTGCTCTGTCCCACGCACCACATAGTCACAGAGGCCATTTAAAATGATCCACCCCACAAAAAAGTTAACAAAGGTGAAATGAATTCCAATTTACTGCATTTCACCCAATATATGCAGAGTATTATTATTTCACAAGTAATCAATGTCAAAAATTACTAAGTTACTCTATATTCTTCTTTCCATACCAAGTTCACAATCTGGTGTGTATTTTACATTTGCGATCCAGACTAGCACCATGGCAAGGACCCAGGGGTCACCCGAGGAAAGTGAAGCACGGGAACCATCAGGGGCTTCACCTCTTCAAGGTCTGCATCTCACAGATGAGGAAACTGAGGCCCAGAAAGGCGAAGTGAGCCTCACAGTTAACAACTGTCAGACTCCCAGTCCAAGTCTCTCCATTTAAAATGTGATTTTAATACTGAATACTACATGCCTATGTTTGGGTCATCATTTTTTAAAATTAATTTTTATTGGAGTTGCTTTATTTCTATTAATTTTTAGTCTGTAAGTTTTATAGTTGCTTTATTTATTGATTTTGAGTCTAAGACTCTTGAGAAGTCTTTGTGTGTGTGTGTAGTTGGTGTTCTTTTCTATAAGTATGTGTCTAATTTTAGAGTAAAACAAACAACTCCTGATTAAAAAGACTTTCAGGAAATGTTATTCAGCAGCTCTTTCAAAGGACTAGTTTAAACATCAACCATCAAGCACGCACCCTCATCAGGAGCCATTAGTTTAATCCTAATTCTTTAGTGTCAGTCCCTCAGTCATGCCCAGCTCTTTGCGGCCCCGTGGACTGCAGCCCATCAACTCTTCTGTCCCTGGGGCTTTCCAGGCAAGGATACTGGAGTGGGTTGTCATTGCCTTCTCCAGGGGATTGTCCCAGCCCAGGGATCGAACCCAGGTCTCCTGCACTGCAGTCAGACTCTTGACCAACTGAGCTATGAGAAAAGTTCTGAATCCTTCTTTCAGGGGAATGAAAAGACGTCAACTTGACCAGCCTTCTGCTTCCTACAGAGTCAGCAGCGCACAGCAGGGTCCTGCGGTTCGCAGGACGTTCACGCTGAGAATGTAGGCACACACCTCCCTCCAGAGGAACAAAAGTTATTGCAGGACAATGAACAGAATCCCCGTCACAAAAAATGGTGCAGGGTAAACATACAGAAACCTGCCTTACGGGATTACGAAACAAGTGAAAAGCAAAGCTGGCCTGTGTGGTAACTGACACCTTAAACCCATTTATTGCGTTTTTTAATAAACACTCTTAAGAGATGGAATTGTAACCTGGCCCCGTGGCCTCTGAAGGACCTGTTCTAACTTACTGATCTGCTGCACTTTTTTTTCTTTGTCAGTTGCTTTATCAATTTTATATAAAGCCAGAAATCAAGTAGATGGTATAAAATGTGCTGTATCCATGGAAAAAACATGAGATGTCTTTGAGCATGAAATCCGAGAGGCGTTTGGGCGTCCTGATAAAACGATAGCATTTGGCTTAGCAACATCCAGGATGCCTGGAAGAGTTATTTTAACAATCGATGGCTGTTAATTATTTGCCCGCACACGTTACTTTCTTTGTGCTTCATACCTTCTTCCTCAAGCCTTCCTGAGACCCCCTTTTTTTCCTAAATATACATTTTTCACACCTCCCTTCGTTAAAGAGTCATCCACATGCTATGGTTTTTAAAATAACAGAATTGTAAAGAAATTTGATGACCATTTTGTGTGATGAGAAATGCTCCCATGAAGCAAAGTGGGTTATCCATTCCAGCATCCCCTCCCCACCCCAGCAAGCCCGGACCACGCTCACATGCTGGGCAGCAGGGGGCAGGCTCCCAACGTCACTGCTGATGTTGGCATCATTTAGTGAAAGAAACCAGGCTGGGCGAGACCAAGCGCTTCCTGACATTCATGCCCACCCCTGGGGCTAGGGTACGCCCTGCGTGTTACTGTGGGACGTCATCAGCTTCTCAAACAAGCGGAGGTCGTGTTCAAGCTTAGGACCTTNAGACACATGACGTGTTAAGAAAATTCAGACACGTACGTACAGGCAGAAAGCGGACACTGTGTGCTCGGCTCTAGACCACGACATGAAGCGACTATCGCGGTAGAACAAGTTACATGGAGTTTTTGGTTTCCCAGTGCATATAAAAGTGATGGTCACACTTGAGTGCAGTCTGTGTGCAGACATTATACATGAAAAAGTTCATTCAAAAATCCTTTATTGCTAACAAATGCTAACCATCACCCGAGTTGTCGAGGTGTAACCTTTTTGCTGGCAGAGGGTTTGAAAGACGGCAAGAATTACCTCGTGACACAGGGGCATGAGTGAGACAGGGTGCTGGGAAACGGCAGTCAGACGCGCTCAACATGGGGCTGCCCCAGACCTTCAACCGGTCAAAGAACTCGGTATCTGCGAAGTGCGGTAACGCGGGCACAGCCTGCCAGGCAGCCTGTTAGAGCAGCTTTAGAAAAGCAACGCAGAGCAAAGGTCACCAGGACTGTAGGAGCCTCAGCTGAGGGGGCAGACCGGACGCCAGGGAGTGGTCAGGACAGGTCACTGCGAAGGGGACGGTCAGGCTTGGCAGAGCCAAAACTCAGGGAAGCTCAACACACACACATTCTGGAACTGCCTCCACCAGGGGAACCGGAATCTCGAAACCAAAAGGCATGTCAGGGTACCGGAAGGCACTAACAGTCCTCCTGAGGCCTTCCTCTTTGGCCCAGATGATTAAAGACTGGGCCAAAAAAAAAGGTTACTTAAAAAGAACAAACAAAAATACAGACGCTTGTGTAACACAGTACAAGTATGTGGCATTACAAGTATGTGGCAGGCCCTGTTTTAAGTACTTAATAGAAACTTCGATTAAAAAAAAACCCCAGCTTTCTTACAGAAATTGTGAGAGAGAAAAGAGTGTAATGAATCCCAACACACCCATTAGTACTCTGTCTCAGCAACTGCTGACCTGCTATTCTTCTTCATCCACCGCTGTCCTTTGGGGACTCAGGAAGGATGGAGAATTTTGAGTCACAGGCATCCTATTCATTTCACCCAGTGAGACTTCAGTCCAGGCTCTGAGGGAACCATGTCAGGCATGAATACCATTACGACATCTGGTAAAGGAACAATCCCTTACTATCACCTGACATCTCCACACTTACTTTTCCCTGTTTGTCTGAAAAGGAACCCCAAAGAGCCCATCTTTTTAAAACTGCTTCCATCTAACCAGGGTCCAGCTGAAACCCACAGCACTGGGACACAGCCCGACAGCTTTTCCTGTTTATTAGACGTCTGACTCTTTCCCTCCCCGCTGCCCTTTTGCTGAATTCCACTGACCACATCCTCCCAGGATCATGGATCCTGCTCCTGTTTCCTGTAACCTGCCCCACAGCAAGAGGCTTCGCAGGTTGAGGTTCAACCTTTCTGGGGAGAGGCAAGGTACTGTCTAGGGGATTCCGTGAACCTCTTTTCACACCACTGCGGGAACACCGAGGAAGTCAGTGGCTGAGTTCACTTTCACTGGCCTGATCCAGCCCCGGACAAGCTCCCCCGAGCTCCCCTCAGTGTCCTCCACAGGAACCCGATGAAGCAGGCACTGTGCTGAGCTCCATGCACTGGTGCTATCTACCTGCTTCACGGGGTCAGGCTCCCCCCTTCATCACCCTGAGACGCTCCCCCGGGGCCGTGGGAGACAAGCACGGCATCTGACGCCAGCAGAGTGCCTCGTGTCCTCAACCGCTCCTCTGGGGGACCCCCTTTCCTTGCCCCATTTAAACGCTGACATCCGGAGGGCAGACATCATCAGACACCACACCCCCCATGGGTGGCCCGCCCGCATCCCAGCCCGCTGGAGACTCAGGCTCTCATGGACTGTCTAGAACCAGGCCTGTCCTAATCCAGGACGGCCCTTCCAAAACGCCGGCCTCGGTCCCCTGAGCATCTAGCCTTCGATACCCTCCGCTCCCCGAGGCAGCCACTCACAGCCCCGCTGTACCGCAGACACGAGCCACAGGGGCACCTGCGCCCGGACAGCTTTAACCGCTTGCCCCTGCCCGCCCCCCTCCAGCTGAGGTACCCGGACCCAGGGCCCTGCCACCCTGTCACCGACAGGTTCACGACCCCAAGAGAGCGATGTGGCAGATGTGTAAAGGGTCAAATTTTACCCCGAGATGCTGTGGCTGTCCGGCCTTGAAACTACTATGAGGTAATAAGGAAGGCAGAAAGCGCTCAGAGAGCTGGAGACAGCTGTGCTCACCCAGATGACACCCTTGCTATTCTGGAAAAAAAGGAGAAAGACTAGTGTGGCTCCTCCAGGCGGCACGAGGGCCCCCTCCTGGCGGCCGAGGCTCCCAGCTGTCACAGCACGAAGTAGAGTGATATAGAAAGTGAAGGAAAGCTGGAAACCACAGTCACAAAGTCCACAAGTCTTCACTCTTCAAATTCAAGCCCAGAGGTTTCCACAGCGCTTCAGCTGCGACTAAGATCTCCGGAGAACACGGGTGCGGGAGAGCTATCTTTTCCTTTGGAAACCAGCTTAAATCATTTCAGACCCAACATTATAACCTCCCCCAGAAAGCTGATAAATGCCCTTACGTCCAACGGAACACAAAGCTGAAGGATATGAAAGTTAAAAACTCCAACCAAAATGCAGGGACTGTAACAACCTAGTCCGATTCAAGAGACAGAACATGGAGCACTCTTGTTTTATGACCACCAGGGGTTGAAAACCTTATCTGACGCAATCACAGGAAATCTTCACAGGAAATTATACAGTGAGGATCTGCTGTAGCTGCTAGACTTTTAGAAATATCAACCTTCAGAGCCCATGACACTCAAGATGCCCTTCGACTGAGTTTTTTTACCAGCTTCTAGAAGAACTTTCTCAGCTCTTCACTTTCTGAGCTGAGAGGTTAATGAAATCATAGCCACAAAATAGGATATGCCCTCGGTACCAAGAAACAGCAAGCTGCTTGCACTGAATTCAACAGAAACTAACTAAAAGAACAGATATTCTCCAACCAGTCTTGGTACCAAACTACAAAACTCTCCAACCTTGAGTCCACCATCATCAAGGAGAAGCAAAAGTTGAAGAAAACTTGATGTCAGCCCCAAAGGCGGACTCGCGTTTGATCAGCCCCAGGCAGCCGGCCGCCGCGGCGCCCACCTCTTCACCCCGAGCCCAGGCTCAAACACTGTGCTCCCGGGCGGGGGAGAGGGCCTGTCCCTGAATTGCTTCATCAAAGGAAAAATAAGGACTCCGGTTGCAGTGCAGAGGAGATCGTGGTGACTCCGCGCTTCCATGAAACCACCCAGATCCCTCACAGTCAACTTTGAGAGAAGAAACACCTGCATTTGTTAAGGGATTAGAAAATCGACAAAATAGGACAGAAAACGGGTATGTCCAAAGTGGACAAAATGATGTCCCGGCCTTTGGGCCAAGAGACCCCAAAAGCTCACCCTGCAAATGGAAAAGTCACTGCACCACCAGTAATTCAGGGACACCAAACACAACAGGTGCGCAAATTCTATCGCAACGCGAGCCAGAAAGGGGCTCTGGGCGTTTACCCGAGACGGGGCTCCTTCTTCCAGATCTCCTGGCAAGAGTCCAACAAGGGAAGTGGCATCAGACCCGCCTGGCAAGAGGGCTACGGTGGTTCCCACTCAGCCACAGCTACAGCCCAGAATCCAGACGGGGCAAGGGCCACGTCAACACATTGTCAGAAAGAAGGCACCTTGAGCCAGAATCCCCCTGCAGGCCCCCGTCCAGGCGCATCACAACCCACTTCCTCTTGGCAGCCTGTGATGAGGACTGGCCAGCTGACCGACGCTGGCTCTGCCCAGAGAAACTGATTCCAAACTCAGCGGCTGCACTCGAATTCAGCAGAAATGGCACTGAGGAGCCTGACCACCTGGATGAAGCTCACCTGGCCGGGGAGGAGGCCCCGGCCCAGGCCAGAGCCAGAGCATCCTGAAGGTGACGCCCCCGAAAGGGCACTGGACTGCTCAGCCACCTGTCTGTTTTCTCCTCTGTTGTGTTCACTGTATAGTATTTCAGAGGGGACACAACAGTGTTTCGCTGAAATTATATTTCATATTTGAACTTTTTTCAAGTCGGGAAAGGAGGTTATTATGAAGAAAAATCAGCATTTTTCATGACACACCCTGTAGCTCCTATACTTAGAATCCAAAGGCTTCTCTCCACGTCCACTGCTACCATCCTATGCCAAGCCACCATCATCTCTCTCACGGGTCATAATAAATACCCAGCCGGTCCTTAGCCCTTGCCTCCTGGTCAATTCTCCATGAAGTCAGAGTGACTGCAATTCTTTAAAAACAATTCAGATCACATCATTCCTCTGCTCAAAACCTTCCAGGCGCCTACCACCACCCAATCTAAGCCGTTACATTCCATCTCCTTGACCCAACCCCGCCCCCCCCATGTGGTTACGATGCTCTAGCTTCTGGGGTCTGGAACATTTCAGGCACACTTCTGCTTCAGGGCCTTTGCACTTGCTGTCTGCTTTACCTGGACCATTATTCTCTCCCGATAGGCACACGACTCACAGACTTCAAGTATTTGCCCAAATATGGCCTCTTCTAAACACGCACACCTTCACTGCCCCAGGCAGTGCTATTTCTTCCAAGGAATTTACTAAGCTGATACACTGTTTTCCTTAGCTTGATGTCTTGTCTTCCTATTAAAATGCAAACTACTTGAAGGTAGTAGCTTTTGACTGTTTTACGCAGCTGACCCTGCTCCTCCCTCAGTAACCCATGGATCCAAGCCAGTGCAAGCTTCAATTTAGGGAAAACTAGGATTATCCATGGAACTTGCCTTTGATTTACTGCTGTGTCTCCCAGACCTAAAATATCCTAATGTTGATGAATGAATGAATGAATAGGCCACATATTTGAATGTGAAATAGCTTATGAACTAGCTCAGAAAAAAACAGTAAAGATGAAAAGTAAGTACACTAAATAATTACCAGTACACATAGAACGAAGCTGCGATAAACGATCATATCAGCAGCCAACTGAATTCTCTGTATCGGTGAATCTCCCTTCCGTAGAAACAATGGCCTTATAGTCCAGTGATTCCAGGTGGGTCTTTGGTACAAACAAAGCAAAAACAACTTGCCCAAGTTCGTCCAAAGTGCCTTTACACTTACACAAAAGGCGGGAATGCTCAATATGTTTAAATAATTACAATGCTTTAAAAGCAACATTGTAGAAGATAAAAATATACAAAAATAAAACTGTATAAAGTTCATTAAAACAGTGGCTTAAATAAATCCTCTATCAATACCACACAGAGCTAGGGAATGGACCTAGACAACAGAGCTCAGAGCTGTTTACATAATTACATGAAAACATGAAAGGCGGTCCCCAGGGACACTGCAGTAAAAACCATTTGGTTAAAATCAATAACCCATCCTCCAGAGGCAGCTCAGTACAGTGCACAGGCGCAAAACCTAACTGATGGAAAATTACTATACATGATAACAGTTCTGGTTCTATTTGCCCCTTTTTATCTTGGCTGCCTTCTCCTTTCTTTTTTTCACGTGTTTAGGAATTTTGTTTTTTCTTTTCTCTCTCTGGGCTTCCTTGACCATCTTTTTTCTTTCCTGTAAAACAAAAATAAAAAGTATGAGGATTTCCTGGCGGTCCAGTGGCTAAATATCTGCCATGCAAGGCTCAGGGGCATGGGTCCCCCTCCTGGTTGGGAATGAAGGTCCCACGCACACCCCAGCGAGACAGCCCATGGGATGTGTGTCGCTATTAAGACCCAACACTGACAAATCAATTAGTGGGTTTTTTTTAAAAAAAAAAAAAAAAGGTTTGGAAAAAATCAGAAGCAAAAAATCTGCAAATTTCATTCATTCTGAGTAGTCACATTATTATTACAACTAAATTTTTAATATATGTAAAAAGATAAAAGGTGAGTGTCACAGAAAAAAAACTGGAAATGATTATGGCTTGGTGGTGGAACTGGGGGTGAAAACTGTCTTTACAATTTCTTCAGACATTTCAAGACAGTCAACACAGATGCCCATGGGGACATTATTAAATGTATGCCACTACTTTTCCTTATATGGTTCATATTCTAACAGAAATAAATGTTGGAATGAAAGACAAAATACATATTTCCAGGAGACAAAGAAAGAACGTGTCCTAGAGAGCTGGGGATGTCTCTTGGAAGTCCTGGAACCCACACTCTCCAGGGTTTAAAGGATCAGACTAAGAATGAGGAATAAAAAAAAAATAAATAAAGAGTAACAGCCGTCATGGATCATTGCATCAGTTGTGTCTCTTATGTCTACAGGCAAGAGAGTAAGAAATATCTGAGATTCTGAAAATGGGGAGCTGGGCTGTAAAAATGCCCCTGGAATGGTTCTTTGGTATTTCACCATGGGGCCCACTCCAGCATCATTTGTACAAGTGCATCACAACCACTTCTAATGCATTGAAACTAGTGTGTCCTCTCCCTGGGCAGTGCCCAAGGGCTCCTAGAAGAAGCCCAATCTCCAGATGATGTTACCACCAAAGTGAAGTTCACACTTCAGGAACTAAAAACTGAAACTTCAGCTACTCTGATCCAGACATCTGAGTACACAGTCTCAAGGGACCGAGTGGACATGTTGACAAACGCGGGAACGTGCACTCTCAGCTAACCTTTCTGTTAACTTCAAGGTCGGCAGGGGGCTTCCTGGAGCCGGCGTGATCCCCCTGCTCCTCAGAGTCTGTGTCAGAGCACTCCACGCTCCCTGCATCTTCTGAATCAGAACCAGTCTCTTCCTGAACCTGGCTTTCCAGGAGTGCAGGGACCTTGAAAACATCACAGGACCATGTTATTCTCAACAAGCCAGCTACCTACTGGCATTCAATGTGTTAATGACAGAATTCAGATTTCAGCCTCACAGACAGACTTTGAAAAATGACATCCCGTACTGAAACATCAAAACAACAGGATCCACGCTTGGCAGGAAGCCTGAAGCAGCCATTCCAGGATGGCTCAAGGACGCTCCCAACAGGGGGAGCCACCCAGATCAACAACAGGACTGTTCCACCCCCTGCAGCACAACTGGAGGGCTGAGCCGGGATTTGGAACACAGATAGGAGAAAAAAGTGAACCTATCTGGATAACTTCACAGCTGTTGGCCTGCAGATTAAATTTCAAGTGGAACATTTGTTAATCCAAGAGGGAAGACAATCTTTAAACAAGAAACATGTTCACTTTTTTTCCTGAAGGTTAGCAGTTTTTAAAGTAGCAGGAAGCATTTTTTAAAGCACGAGGCCTTCTTTTCATAAGAAAAAAAAAAAAACCAGATCTTCACACGGTGATGGTACAAACAGGCTTCCTGGCCAGTGGTAACAGAATCCTCCTGCTCTGGAATTCAAAGCACAACTATCCTCGTCACACCTGCCACAAAAAAACCAGAAACACAGAATCCAAGAATTCTCCTAGTCCGATTCTTCCCACGAGAGAGTCAATTTTCAAAATGTAAACCACAAACCTTCATATTAAAACATCCACTAAAAACATCAAAAGAAGTAAGAGCCACCTTTACTACCGTTTGAACTAGAAATAATCTCTGCTGTCTGAAAATGTTAAGGCACAATGAACCTGCTGTAAGAAAAAGCACTACCGGAGTCTGCGCCGTGCGACAGCAGGACTTGAGAGCCAGCCTTCAGCAGCTTCGCGCCAGGGCGAGACCAGCCCCCATGGCTGTTTCAAGCTGGCTGCAGAAATGTCTAGAAGCATGTGGGTACTGTTAACAGCTTCACCAGCGAAGACAGGATACACAAAGGATCGACGCCTCAGCAACAACAGACCGATTCAGGGGCAGAGTAAACAACAAACCTCAGGTGCCCACAGCTCAAGCTCATGGAGTCTAGAAGCATGTGGGTACTGTTAACAGCTTCACCAGCGAAGACAGGATACACAAAGGATCGACGCCTCAGCAACAACAGACCGATTCAGGGGCAGAGTAAACAACAAACCTCAGGTGCCCAAAGCTCAAGCTCATGGTTAAAGGGAATGGACACAATGGCCACAGACTGTGAAAGCATCTATACCAGTAACAGCGCACCATTGTTACTTCAACGCTAATACTACTTGACACACAATTTTATACCCTTTTGAGTTTTCATGTAAATGAACACACGTTCTTCATACCTTCTGAACGCCCGACAGATCTTTCTTCAGTCCCGTGACAGTTTGGTATAGAATCTTAAAACCAAAGAGACAAAAAAAAAAAAGAATGAGCACAAAACTGAACACTGAAATACGCTGCAATATTAAGAAAGGGTACTGCTGCCGGCTAGATGACACCTTGTGTGAGTATAAAAAGGTGTCCAAACTGTGTCTCAGGGGACAGAGAGTCTAGCGTGGGTGTGGCTCTCCTCCACAGCCACACGACCACGGCAGGTCTGCACGCCCCGCCGGGCCTCTGCTCACCGGTGGTGGCAGGGGGCTCTTGCGGGCACACAGCTCTAACTGATCGGCGACAGGCGGTCCTAACTCTGAGTCTCAGCTAAGTGCGATGTTTCCTACTCCCCCAAATCACTCCATTCCTTTCTCATTATCATGAAAAGGTGTATGTAGTCAATATTATTAGCATCTTTAATGTCGTCAAAAATTGGGGGAAATTTTTTCTCTCATATAATGACCCATACAATGCCTCAATTTTGTTTCTTGGCCCGCGAAGCCTTAAATATTTACTATCTGGCCCATTAGCAGAAAAAAATTTCCCAAACTTTGAGACGTGTGTCAATGGATCTAGATCTAGCACAATAATCGTTTATAGCCTGGACTTCTATACACATCTTCCTTTCCTGCAATTACAGCCTGTTTGACTCATTCATTTCCCTTCATAAAGGCCAGTGGATTGATATCCTCCACAAGCAACAGACACAGAGGGCGTGCCATGCGTAAGGAATGAGCCGTCTCACTAGTTCAAAGGCAACACTCAAGACCGCGGCTTCCCTGGTGAACTCGCTGAGGACAAACCAAGCTACTCACATTGTCCTGCTGGGCATTCATGGCCATGTCCTCTTCCTTCAATTTCATCATTATATCCATGTCCCTCTCATAGTTTTTCACTTCATTCAAGGTTCTAGGAATGTAAGCTCGCTTGAACACCTAACAGAGGCAGAAGAAAAGTGACATGGAGACTGAGTCACGGCTCCTCACGTGCACCAAGCCTGCTCCCGCCCTCAGTCACGGAGCAGGTCGTCACTGTCGTCACGCTGGGCGCAGAGTCTCAGCCAGGCTGTCCGCACACTTGGCGCGGCCCGTGCTGTGTGCTGGGCACAGGAGTTTGTGACTAACAATGAAACACGGAATGAAACACAGTTTCCCTTGGAATAACACCCCTCCTCTGTATTCCAGAACGTGGCATTTCTGAGTGGGACAGAAAGGAGCCGCCGTAAGCAAGCACTGCCTCGCTACGAGTGACAGAGGACGAGGTCTTCCGGGGGAACAGCGTCTACCCTGTGCTACAGCTGGGAAATATGGGGTGCCTATACTCACCCATCACACCAAGAGCTCTGAGAATTATTTTTTTTTAAAAAGCCTCCTATTGATCACTTTCACAAAAAACATACTGACTCCCAACATCTTAAAAAAATCTTCCTTTTTACCAAACGTAAATATATAAAATCTACAATGTTACTGGAATCAACACTTAAATCGCTTAAAAATTCACATTAACAACAGAAACAGACTTGCAGACATATAGTCTGAGAACACACTTATGGTCGCTGGGGGCAATGATGGGGGGAAGGGATAACAAGGGAGTTTGGGATGGACACGCACACACTGCTGTATTTAAAACGGGGTCACCAACCAGGACCTACTGTACGGCACAGTGTGGCAGCCTGCATGGGAGGAGAGTCTGGGGGAGCACGGATACATGTGTGTGCGTGGCTGAGTCCCTTCGCCGTGCACCTGAAACTATCACAGCGTTGTTTGTTAATTGACCATGCCCCAATACAAAGTAAAAAAAAAAATTCACATTAGCAAACTAAAATCAGCTTTTCCTTCTTGAATCACATCCTCCAGTCGACTCTGTAAAAATGTTCTCCATGCAGGACTAGGGGCAAACAAGCAAGAATGGAAGGACATAATGGGATGAAAGCTACACAATTTGGGTCAATTTAATCATGTAACATGTTATCTCAAGAAAACATTATCATCATTTAAAATACTGCATATCCAATAAAATCAAGATCATGTCCCAGCAATATATTTTAAAAAAAAGACCCTGGGAACAAGTGTTTCCAAGGCTCTAACAGATGACCAATCTTACCTCCTCATCCACATGATCTTGGCTGGACCTTTCCTCCTTGGTCCTTTGAGATGCTATTTCCATGGCCTTGGAAAGAAAACAAAAATCACCTTCCTTCATATTCAACCCACAGAACATATATCCATTACCCAGAAACCTGGCTTTACCACTGGCTTTTTACTACAGTTTGATCCCTCACTTGTGAAATCAGAAGGAAAAGGTCTCCGGAAGCTGTCATGATGAACAAAAATGATGCTAAACCCCAAGTCCTCAGAAGTGACACAGAAATGCCACCACTACCGCTATTTCCTGTTCCTCCCAGTCTCTAGGACAAACCAAGCTACTCACATTGTCCTGCTGGGCATTCATGGCCATGTCCTCTTCCTTCAATTTCATCATTATATCCATGTCCCTCTCATAGTTTTTCACTTCATTCAAGGTTCTAGGAATGTAAGCTCGCTTGAACACCTAACAGAGGCAGAAGAAAAGTGACATGGAGACTGAGTCACGGCTCCTCACGTGCACCAAGCCTGCTCCCGCCCTCAGTCACGGAGCAGGTTGTCACTGTCGTCACGCTGGGCGCAGAGTCTCAGCCAGGCTGTCCGCACACTTGGCGCGGCCCGTGCTGTGTGCTGGGCACAGGAGTTTGTGACTAACAATGAAACACGGAATGAAACACAGTTTCCCTTGGAATAACACCCCTCCTCTGTATTCCAGAACGTGGCATTTCTGAGTGGGACAGAAAGGAGCCGCCGTAAGCAAGCACTGCCTCGCTACGAGTGACAGAGGACGAGGTCTTCCGGGGGAACAGCGTCTACCCTGTGCTACAGCTGGGAAATATGGGGTGCCTATACTCACCCATCACACCAAGAGCTCTGAGAATTATTTTTTTTTAAAAAGCCTCCTATTGATCACTTTCACAAAAAACATACTGACTCCCAACATCTTAAAAAAATCTTCCTTTTTACCAAACGTAAATATATAAAATCTACAATGTTACTGGAATCAACACTTAAATCGCTTAAAAATTCACATTAACAACAGAAACAGACTTGCAGACATATAGTCTGAGAACACACTTATGGTCGCTGGGGGCAATGATGGGGGGAAGGGATAACAAGGGAGTTTGGGATGGACACGCACACACTGCTGTATTTAAAACGGGGTCATCAACCAGGACCTACTGTACGGCACAGTGTGGCAGCCTGCATGGGAGGAGAGTCTGGGGGAGCACGGATACATGTGTGTGCGTGGCTGAGTCCCTTCGCCGTGCACCTGAAACTATCACAGCGTTGTTTGTTAATTGACCATGCCCCAATACAAAGTAAAAAAAAAAATTCACATTAGCAAACTAAAATCAGCTTTTCCTTCTTGAATCACATCCTCCAGTCGACTCTGTAAAAATGTTCTCCATGCAGGACTAGGGGCAAACAAGCAAGAATGGAAGGACATAATGGGATGTAAGCTACACAATTTGGGTCAATTTAATCATGTAACATGTTATCTCAAGAAAACATTATCATCATTTAAAATACTGCATATCCAATAAAATCAAGATCATGTCCCAGCAATATATTTTAAAAAAAAGACCCTGGGAACAAGTGTTTCCAAGGCTCTAACAGATGACCAATCTTACCTCCTCATCCACATGATCTTGGCTGGACCTTTCCTCCTTGGTCCTTTGAGATGCTATTTCCATGGCCTTGGAAAGAAAACAAAAATCACCTTCCTTCATATTCAACCCACAGAACATATATCCATTACCCAGAAACCTGGCTTTACCACTGGCTTTTTACTACAGTTTGATCCCTCACTTGTGAAATCAGAAGGAAAAGGTCTCCGGAAGCTGTCATGATGAACAAAAATGATGCTAAACCCCAAGTCCTCAGAAGTGACACAGAAATGCCACCACTACCGCTATTTCCTGTTCCTCCCAGTCTCAGCCCCGCCTCACCTTTGAGAGATACGCATCCATGTTCTCGGGTGTAACTGACGGATCCGTGACAAATTCAAAGAGCTCCCGCACAGTCATCACGGCAACGCCATGCTTCAGAAAGAAATCTGCCAGAGAAGATGCTTGTGAGAGCTCTGCGAGGGAAAAGGTTGCTATTCCAACCTCTTCACAGACAAACAGATAAAATTCACCATCGCTGAGCCAAGGGTGTCAGCATCACTAAGTCAAACAGTTCAGTGCCACGGTTCTCTATCGACAGTTTAGCAGGGTACAGAGCCACAGGTGCAAACAAGTCAGGGAGAAGAGTGGTTCCCACTCACCATTGACATTGGCGCAGTCCTTTCTTAAGAATTCCAAGGCGTGCGGGTGGTCGTGCTCCACGGACTGAGAAACGTCGATGATGTACACACCTCCGCCGTGGTACCTGCGTGGGCCAGGGTCCAGGGGCTGAGCCAGGCTGCCACCATACTGCCGCAGGGGCCGGGCACGGGGCCTAGGGGACACTGCTGCTTGCCTGTATCTAACTTGCTATTTTAAGAGCAACAGAAGACACTAACAAAGTGAACGAAGTGGATAAGGAAAAGAGCCACTGTGACTAACACGAGATGGATACTGAGAAAATATCCAAAGTCCTTTTAACTCTACCAGTGATCAGTCAATCCTGTGACTGAGGCCACCAAACACGTCCTACCCTGTGACCCTGTGGAAGACAACTTGAAAACTGAGAATTCAGAAGACTTCTGGGATTGGGATTTAGTTCATGTGCCTAAAGGATCCGAGGGGACTTGTGGAGGCTCTCATGGGCTACCCACTCACAGCATGTTGAATTCACTGAGGTCTGCATGCACCAGCCTGGCGTCCTGGTACATTCTCCTCATGTACTCGATCACTTGCATGTACAACTCCCGAGCCTTGGACTCTGATAACTGGACGTTTTTCAAGAGCGGCGCTGGCCTTGAACAAAAATAAAGTGAACAACTCAGATAAACAGACTCAAGTTTTTCTTGCTTTCTGCTACACTGACACACATTCTTTTCTTCTATGGCTCACATTGACCAGTTTAGTTCACTCCAGAGATACAGTTCTAAAAAGCTGTCCACAAACAGGTGCTCTGCCAGATAAGACATTCCTCAAAAACAAGGTGAGCTCTGTTGCTCTGAAGCATTTTGAGACTTAAAAAGGTTAAACAAATAAAAAACCCATGTACTAACAGAGTGGGAAAGGCTTGTTAAAAAATATCCCAAGGCAAAAGGAACTATTTAAACGGGAAATATTCATATATTGGAAGATTCAAAGCACTTAAAAATACAATGCTGGGCGTGTAATTACTAGCCCTCCTGTGCACTCACATGTCGTCTTTGCCGATGAAACCCATGACGAGAACATGACTTCGCAGCAGGATGGGTTCTGGGCATGGAATCTCTGCTGTGTTTAGCCTGTGGTATGAAAGCAGGTGAAAAGGACAAATGAGAGGCTGAAACAAACGATCTAAAGCATCTACTCTGAAACACCTGACAGTGCACTTGCTTGCAGCTTACAAGACGGCCAGGGCTTTGAGCAAACAGCATCCAAGCCTCTCGATTTATTACTTCATTTCATAAACTCTGACGCCTGGGACTTTAAGTGGCACCGTTACACGTCACAGAGAATGGTGACTGAACTAGGTCCCACAGCCTCTAACACCCAGCTCAAAGCCAGATGTGTTAAAACTAGGAAGACACAGGCCCCTGAGAACTGACAGAACACAGAAGGTATGTTTGCGATTCTTCTTTGAGTTGATCAGTGTGAACAACTATTAATAAAAATAGTGGACTCATGGCTAATTGAGCATAACATTTCAAAAGGACTTTCAAGCAAGTAGACTTGGTTGTTGTTCAGTTGCTAAGTCCTGACTCTTTGAGACATCATGGACTGCAACATGCCAGGCTTCCTTGTCCTTCACTATCTCCCTGACTTTACTTAATAATATGAAAATACCCAGTGTATGACACCTAGATATAGCATATAAAATGTTAAAAGACATTTGAAAGACAGAAAGAAAACCTTCATTATTTAAAGCATATTTAAAACTTCAAATGAGGAAGCTTGAAGATGCCTTTACTTGATACAAAGGTGCCAAGGCAAAGAATATATAAATGTGTTCAGAGTTGGACCGAAGAAGAGGAAACTACAAAAGAGAGTTCAGGGCCTAACAAAACAGTCTAAAACTCCAACACCTGCACAAAACGACACATCACTCTCCCAACCTGATTGTGTCGCTTCACTGCTTCAAATCCTGCAGGCTCTTTATCACCCTCACGGTAAACTCAAAACCTTCTCACGAGGCTCCCAAGGCTTTTCATGTGACCCAGCCGTGGCAAAATTCTTCCGCAGCGGGTTTGTATGACAGGGAGAGAAGGTGGTTTCTACTTGCCCAGCAACATCTCCTCTGTTTACCTCTGCACGTCTCAGGGACTGGAAGTGCCCTCAGAGTCCCTGGCCTTGACAGAATCACAGGAGATCTGCTGGGAGCCAAGTGCTGGGGCTGACAGGCAGACACAGCACACACACACACAGACACACACACCCCAGACAGTCACCTGATTAGGTTCCTCATTTCCTTCTCTGCCCACGTCTTCACCATTTTTCTGGGGTTGCCTTTACAGTAGCCATGGCGAAATCTTGAATGAGAAAAATACTTGTTATTTCAATCATTCCATTATTCTAGTTTTTACTTTTTAGGATATGGAAATTAAGCCACTTGGGGAAAAAAAAAAATCTGAGCTTACCTGAATTCCCCACTGACATACTTATCCCGGTCTTTGAACACCAGAATCGAAGTCTTGTAAATTTTGATTGCTCTGCTCTCTCCATTTGCTGTGCGAGCATGATATACATTAGCCTATTTTAAGTCAAAAACAAAAGAAATTAAGTCTGTATTAAATAAATATAAATAATATTTTGCTCTTGCAATCTATTTGATTCTATCCTCAAAAGTAGAAGTCCAATAAACTGGAATAATATGCATAAGGAATGCCATCCTCTTTTGAATATGTGAATTAAAATATACAACATAATACTAAAAGGTATAGTAACTATACCTCCTACTTACATATATAGTAAACAACAATTTAAATTATGTTAGATAGACAAAGAAAACAAACTTACGGTTACCAAAGAGGAAAGGTTAGGGGAGGGACTAATGAGGAGGCTGGGGTTAACAGATACACACTGCTATGTATAAAATGGACAACCAACAAGGGCTCACAAGATCTGAATAACTCAGATGTATACCTGATACTAACACAACATGGCAAATCAACTATACTTCAATAAAAAGTAATTTAAAAAACAGGTCTTCAAATTAAATACCTACATATATACATATACACATGTGAGTACTTTGAAACATTTTTATATTTCAAGTATGTGGAAAATATCTGAAGACATTCTTATATCTCGTGATTTGTAAAGTGAGTTTCACTGAGAACTGCTTCCCACAGAGTAAGTTGCTAACTGAAAAGCAACATGCCTGTCTTTCTTCCATACATAAAGGAAACACTGAGAAAGACATGTGCTGACTCAAGAGACCAGACCCCCACCCCTGCCCCCATAACTGTCCGACCATCTGAACCAGTGCTGGGCACACCTGGATGGGCTAACGGCGCTGGGGAGGCACGCTCCGCACAAAAACCCCCCCCGCCAAGAAAAGGAAAAAACCAAGGTTAAAAAAACGCAACGAATGAAACAACCCCAATTGGCAAAAGTTAACTAACAAAGGCCCTAAGTTCAACTCCGGGGGGGCTTCCCTGGTGGCTCACATGGCAAAGAATCGGCCCGTAATGCAGGAGACCAGGGTTTGATTCCTGGCTCGGGAAGATCCCTGGAGGAGGGAATGGCAACCCACTCCAGTATTGTTGCCTGGAGAATCCCATGGACGGAGGAGCCTGGTGAGCTACATCCATGGGGTTTCAAAGACTAGGATACAACTGAGCGACTGCCACTTTGACTTTAGTTTCACTTTGGTATCTGAAATAAGAAAACGAACACGGAAACATTCAGACATCCGAAGACTGGCTCACTTCTTTTCCGGTGCTGATGCAGCCGTTGATCTCTGCTATGACTCCCCTTGTCAGCATCTTGAACAGGATCATTCGTGTTCTGGGGTCCAACACCTAAAAAGAAATGCAAAAAAGTAGAACGTTCAGGCAGAGTGTACCAATATTTCTCACGGAAGCATGAGACAAGAAACTGGAACCTAGTGCACTGTGCGATCCTGCTGGGCTGACAGAGTGACTATGGCAGGGTTCTAGCCACTCACTGCAGTGAATAAAATGCAAGATGAGACCCAAAGGAACCTGAGAGGCAAGAGACCAGGAAGTTCACCCAGTCGGGGAAATCAAAGGCCAATGGGTCCAAGGGAAGCAGAAACTGACTCCGGACCCATGACAGCTACTAGAAATACAATCAACCCAGAGGTAACTTTGTATTTTTCAGCCATCATAAAAACAGGTGAAATTAATCTCTATTTTATTTAACCCGGTACATCTAAACCACTATCATTTCAATAAGTGGGCAAAGTAAGAAGTTATCAGAGAGAGGTTTAACATCCTGCTTCTCACACAGGCTTCAAAGCCTGGTGTGCCTGTGCAATCCCGGCACACGAGCAGCCAGCCTGGCCGCGGCCCTGGACACGAAGCTCCACGGCAACCACCAGCACTCTGCAGTTCCCGAGTCAGATCAGCCAGCCTGCTTCCTCTACAGCCTGCAAGCCGAAAATGGTTTCTACATATTGAAATACTTTAAAAATTGGGAATTCTCTGGAAGTCCAGCAGTTAGGACTCTCCACTACAGAGGGCCTGGGTTCAATCTCTGGTCAGGGCACTAAGATCCCTCAAGCAGCATGGTGCAGTCAAATAAAAAAGAGAACTGTGACCCACAATGCCAGAAGTGTTCATCATTTAGCTCTGTAAAGAGCTGGCCAACCCCTTCTAGAGGTGGGTAAATCTGGGAAAGGTGTTATCTCCTTCAAGGTTAGAGCAGTTAGTCTCAAGTAAAAAGCAACCTCAGATTCGCTTTAACAAATAGAAGGCAATGAATTTAAAGGCTGTTGTGCCTGTTCAGTAACTCAGAAGAGAATCTGAAGATTCATGTCTGACTGAGTCACTGCTGTACACCCAAACTAACATGGCACTGTACATCAACAGTGCTTCAACCCGACACTTGGAATGCTCTGGAATACCACTGTTCCAAACTGGGTCTGTGCTACGTGTATGGGACGGGTGGGGAGGCTGGCAGGGGGCAGAAGTGATGGTCTGACTTGTTTCATCACTCTCTTCCCTTCAGAAACCTGGGTCAATTCCAATACCCAATCACAACCCTCGATACGTGGTGGGTGAAGTCGGGTCTCCCCCCTCATTCCTGCATAAAGAATAAAACAAGTCTAACTTCTAAACCAAGTAAGGGATTCTAAATGAATATCTGAAGGCATTATCTGTGTCTCTTTTTTCTACACACCTACACACACACACACACACACACACTTTGTGGCAGATACCTGACTCACCTCCTGGGAAGGCTCACAAAATTCCCGCAGACCTTGTTTAAGACAAAAGAAAAGATTCCTGGACTACAGGCAGTTCTGCTTCCCCCAAGAAGATGAAAGCATTGCTGGGTGGCTTCATGGGCCACAGAAGCAGGGCATGATTCTAATTTATCTATTTAAAGTGCTGTTAGAAATAGCAAAATGTAGATCTCTAAACTCAAAACTATAAGGAGGAGCAATTTTATACAGAAGCAATTCTAGGTGACATTAGCATGAAGCAAGGAGGATGAAAGCAAATTACAATTCAAAGACAGAATTACTACTTTAAAGAGCATGCAACACATTCATTTACACCATACCTGTTCTACAGTTGCTCTGTCTGCCTTATCTTTGATGCGATACCTAAGACAAAACCAAAAAATTAAAGGTGACATTCAAAATTCAGAGAAGCCAAAACCGAAAGATTCTAAATGTACATGATTCCATGATATTCCTAAGCAGGCAGTTCTTTAATAACACATTTCATAACCTCGTTGTAGTTTCACCATCATGTGAAACTTCACTGCCTTTAACAAGCCATTCAGTTCCCTAGGGCAAAGGGAGAGTATCTGCAGTAAGAAAAAAAAACATCCGTCCACATTTCAGAAGGATTAAATAAGAGCAGTGAGGTAAAACAAACTACGCAGGAAAAAGAGAACAAGTCTGTAAGTACTGTTTCTTAGACCGTTAACGATTTTTTTAGTACAGAATTAAATTAATTTATAAGGCTTTCTCTTCAGAGTCCTTTTCTACAAAGAAACAAGCTTTTATCACTTCAAGACAGCTACTGCATGAAAACACAGACTCTGATTACTTTGGCTCACATGCTAGGTGACTCAATTCACAGACTAACCTAAACTAATAAAAGATCCAAACAGGCAGTTTAGTGAAATAAAATGTGCTGTTTCTCAAAAAGCTGGTATCCCTTACATGTAATAATAAACCAGAAGAAAACTGGGTTTTAAGTTCAGTTCTAACACTGCTATTTTTAAGATCTTAGTGTCGTTTTCTGTAACATATTGTTAATGCTTTAGAATTATTAGCAATAGGAAGTGAGCCAAATCTTAAACATTTGGTTTTGAGAACAGAAATGGAAATGGAAACTGTTTTCAGTTAAACTATTTAGTTTTAAACCTGCTCTTACATTTTTAAGGCTCCCCCAGTGGCTCAGGTGGTAAAGAATCTGCCTGCAATGCAAGAGACCCGGGTTTGATCCCTGGGTTGGGAAGATCCCCTGGAGGAGGAAATGGCAACCCACTCCAGTCTTCTTGCCTGGAGAATCCCATGGATAGAGGAGCTGGGCATGTCCAGTCCATGGCATTGCAAAGAGTCAGACATGACTGAGCGATTAACTTTCACTTTCACTTTCCATTTTAAAAAAATATTTCATGGAAGGGAGCAATCTTTAATAAGCTCTAAAAAGGGGACATTTTTTATACTCTAACACTTTAAATTGAAATCTACAAGCACTGTTACCCTGAGAGCACTTTCATGAATTTTACACAATTATAGTTTTAGCACAGATTTCTTAAGAAAACTCATCTAATATTTTCAACTTACAAAGTCATAGGATATCCTCACTTAAACTTAAGAATTGGTTTAGGTATAAAAAGGAACATCCTCTGCAAAAGAATTATGAAGGAGACGCTACTAATCTGTCCACAATTAGTTTGTATCAGTCACATTTTATTTACTTTATTGTATATACTTGATATATTACTTACATATCTGCTTCCTTTTGTCGAGACTTTTCGGTGACTTTGTTTATTACAGAATCAGTAACATTTAGCTTATCTAAAAAAAAAAATCCACAACATAAGCAACATAAGACAAAGTTTCTGAATAGGATACTTTTCCCCTTTCCCTTCTCTACTTTCTAAATATTTTACTACACATAGTAATGCATGTTAGTAATGAAAAGTGTGTTTTGTGTTTTTAAGGGCAAGCACTTACTTACTAACAAAGATGATCACTTTCATCATGACAGGTGTCATTTCTCAGCCAGAGAAATCTAGATTCAGAAATCCCTCAAAAATATTCTATCTGCTCTTTCAGACATTTAATATTTTGTACAACTATTATAAATATTATAATTCTAAAAATGTCAGTTTCACTTCCAATTACAGGTCAGTGCTAGGGATGATCAGATGTGAGGGCTGTCATACCAGGCTCCTAACAGTCTTCGTCTACAAGAGAAAGATGACCCCGTGTTTCCCAAGAGGCTTCAAATTCACACTGTGATTCCCTGCATTCGATGGCTCATGAAATGATTTAATTCCACACCAAAAGTCAAACAAAATGTGATTATATTCAATAGTCAGGTATTTTCACCATTCTACTACAAGATAACCCTACTAAAAATCTAATACAAAACCAATGATAACTTGAATAAGTATCTGTAACTTTGTATTTCCTTAACAGGAGAGAACACAGGACTAAAAAAGTGTAAGTTAGAGTCTTTTCTTTAAGTCATGTTTTTAATTACTAAATTTTAATTTCCTCTAAGCTTTATTATTTACCCTGTAACACTGAATATATCCACTGATTGATCTAATAAAATTTTATAACACTTTTTGTTGTCTTTGAAGAGTTTTCTCATTGCCTAGTGAGAGGAACTGTATCTTAAAAACTCACCTAGATTAATTTTATTCTCAAATTTCCGTAAGACTTTGTCTGCTGGAGTAGACATTTTGGCTGCATTGAAACTGGGAGTCTGTCTATTGGCCTGGAAAAAAACGAGTTCCAGAGATGAAAGCTCTAGATATACATACAAGCCTAAAATTCATCACATCTTCCCTTGGTTCATAGTCAACTATTAAAGCATCAATACTTAGGGAAGTACCCTAAAGGAAGGGAAGGATCAATCACATTTGCCCAAGAGGTTTTTAAAAAGTCACTTGAAATATGCTAGACATTCAGAGACGTCTTCTTTTTTAAAAGGACTTTTTGTGGCTCTGGAATTTACCGAAAGATTTTCACCAAGCTATGTTGCCCTGAAGTCCTAGCCTACACGGACTTTCATTCTTCATCATTTCCACATTTCTGATAATGATGTGGATTCATTCCATAATCAGTAAATTTAAAAAGTTATTTAAATCACCATAAGAATAAGAGCCTTAAAAAAATTGCCTGGGAAAAGACACAAATATGCAGTTTACTGCAAACAGTAACAAAACAGAGAAAAGTGCAGCTTAACGAGTAAATAAAGAAAAGCAGATTAAGTATGTAGAGGTGCTTTGTTTTCAATTATGAACTGACAAGAGACAGTGTCTAATGGGGACAGAGGTTCAGTTTAGCAAAGTGAAAAATTTGGGAGATGGATCCTGTTGAGAGCTGCACAATGTGAACGTATGCAGGGCCACTGAACACTGAACTGTACAGTTAACTATGATGAAAACACAGTATGCTTTATATCATGTGACTTTCACCACAACAGAAAACAACAACTACTAAAGAAGACATAAGCAAACAACACAGAGACCTACAGGATTGTGTACAAAATACCTGAGGGTTACTCCCTCCACCTGAAGCGTAACACCGGGTGAGCTTTCCGACTCCATCGCCCCAGACCCAGTCATCGTCTTCATCATAATCTCCATCTTCCTCCTCTTCCGGCTCACTTTCACCCATCTTCTCATCGGCGTTACTCTGAAGGTCTTCAAATACAACATCATCTTCCTCTTTGACGGTCTTCAAGTCAATGTTTTCACTAGAAATTCCAACATTTTAGCCTGTTTACACATTCTTAATTGGACTTACATATGTATTTAAGAGAGAGTAGACAAATCTATACAGATACATCAAAAAGGTTCAATTATAACATGTATCTCCCAATAAATTCAAACTTAATACCAAGTTGTCCTGTTTCTGAGTTCTATTTCAGCCGATGGGTGACTGTCCAGGTCCGAATAAAGTAGTAGTATTCATCAGGTTGTTAAATCCGCTCCTGCCTTTGTTATTTTCTCAGCTGAATGAACCAGCTCTGGCCAGCACAGCAGACCTGAACTCCAGGAAAACCACTCACAAAGCTGCTCTGAGAGCAGACAGGGGCGGCTTTCTGACAAAATGTGGGAACAAGTCTAAAGCTTTATTTCAAGCCTTACCTTGAACTCAATTATCACTCTACAATGAAAAAAGCTTTAGCAAGACTTGTGTTCCACAGAGAACTTCAAATCAGCCTTGCTCCTGAAAGGAAGGATGGTGACGAGCAGCAGCACAAATGAGAGAAGAGGGCCGGGTATAACTAAATGGGAGAAGCGGGGATTGTCAAATCCAGAGAACCGGCCCAGAGGAAGGGATCACAACTAACAGGGTCTGTTTTTGCCACGTGAAAATTCAGACCAGCGTCACTGAATCTTCTTAGTTTTTCAAGAGAAGCCAGAACTCTGCACTTTCATGGAAAATCTCCCACTTAATTGGTGCGTCCAATTTTAACAGACCGCTGTGCACACCAAACACATGTCTGCAGGTCAGACCCCAAAGGCGGTGAGTGCTGCCAGGTGTGAGCCATCAGACGGACAGCAAGTCAGAAACCATGTAAGACACACAATGACATGCATTTCAGCACACAGAGGAGTTCAGGTAAACTCAGATGACCAGTCCCAACTCGTTAATTAGCCACGGCTTAGAGGGCTCCAAACCTCCACGGACATGGCTGAGAAGAGAACAAGTCATCATCAACCCCCTGCTGTTCACTAGAACTTCATAACCATAATCCATAAATTGATCCTTCAAACTGCCAACCACCTCAAGCGGCATGTTAAAGCTATACTGTCACTTGCACCACGGCTTTCCCACCTCAGCTGGGCAATCCCTTGCTGTGGGCGGTGGTCCTGTGCAGCAGCATTTCTGGCCCGAACTTTCCAGATTCAGTAAGCGCAAACCACGCCCAGCTGTGACAACGTCTCCTAAGCTCCTGGAGTCAGCAAAACCACTGGTTTACATCTTCACAGTGTCCAGTGCACACTCCGGACCGGTACTACTCACCAGGCACACGGGCTGTTTCTTCCTCCCACGTGACTTAGTCCCTACAGACTGCTGCGCCCTCACCAGAAAACACTGACCTGCAATGCCTTCCTCATTCCTCTGGCTAAATCCTACCTACCCTTTCAGTAATTAACTTTGCTCAGGGAAGGCTGCGCGGTTCTTCTCCTTTCTACTACTTACCCAAATCTCATACAAATAATTTGTCCAGTTATTCAATACTTTGCCCTTGCTAGAATGCAAGCTCTGTCACCCGGGGGAGCATTTACCAACGTATCAAGATCGACTGACATGAGACCTGTCACACAGAAAGCGATCGACCTGTATTTACTGAAAAATAAAGCAATATCGTCTGCACGATACAAAATAAAAACCCTTTCTGCAGAAAGCGATCGACCTGTAAGTAATTAACTTTGCTCAGGGAAGGCTGCGCGGTTCTTCTCCTTTCTACTACTTACCCAAATCTCATACAAATAATTTGTCCAGTTATTCAATACGCTGCCCTTGCTAGAATGCAAGCTCTGTCACCCGGGGGAGCATTTACCAATGTATCAAGATCAACTGACATGAGAGCTGTCACACAGAAAGCGATCGACCTGTATTTACTGAAAAATAAAGCAATATCGTCTGCACGCAGTAAATCCTTACTATGAATACAAAGTAAAAACCCTTTTCTCAGAATTCCAAAATGAACACTACGTTTCATTTTGCTTTCAAAGTAGGAGTTATCCCCAATTCCTTTTGACTCCCACTTCACATCTATTTTATGGTTAGAAATCTGTCCTCCTACTTCCAGAACATCCCCGTCTAGCGCCCATGATCTATGAACTGAATTCCCTTAGTCCTTTTAAACATGTCCACTCCTGCCCTCCAAAACCATCTCCTCCATAGCAGAATGATTCCTTTCAATCACACGCCAGGTGATGTCCCTGCCCTGCTGAAAGTGTGGCTTTCTACAGCACCAAGAATATCTCAAATCCTTACCATTCCTTGTCACTCTCTTAGGCTCTGGCTCCTCACTTCTGCACCAGCCGATCTCTTCATTTACCTCCACTGTGCTCTGGGCACAATGACCTCTAGATCTTCCTTCCACAGCCAGGACGGACCACACCTGCTGTCCCCTCTCCCCTCTCTGCTTCCACAGGTTGGCTCCTTCTTGTCCTTCCGATCTGGACTTAACGTTCCCTGACTGTTAAGTCACTACTTAGTTCTATCAACTGATTTTAACTGTTTGCATAGTATATGTCATGCTTTAAAAAAAAAAAAAATTCCATGTACTTATCTGTCTCCGCCTCCTTCCCAAGTAGAAGGGGCTTAGTTTGTCTTGTTCATCACCGTCTTCAGCGCCGAGGACAGAACAGGCACACAGTAGGTGCTCAAACACTTCTGGAACGCTAAATGGTAGTTAAAAGCTCAAACACCTGCTTTCCTGTTTCTCTCCCCAACTCTAACCCCTCAGGGATGCTGACAACCCGGGAGCCGCGGACTAACTGCCCTCACCTGGATCAAAAAACCCAGCTGAGATGGAAAAGCCCCAAAAGGCTGTGAAAAGAGGCCCAAGGAGAGATACATAAGACCGGTCTCCCTCTCAACCACAAACAAGCGTCAACGCCCCCAGGGGACCGCGGTGGCGGCGGCGCAGGCGCGGCTGCCCACCTGTCCGAGGAGTCCGCGTCGTCAAACTGCCCGGGGACCACCCGACTCATCAGCAACCGCCGATAGTCCATTGCGGGAGCAGCACAGGGACGGTTCCGCCAACCGGCCCAACGGCCACTGCGCGGACGCCCGCCTCAGAACGGTTCAGTGGCCGCCTCGCCCTACGCGCGCTCCACGTGCGGGCACCACACGCCGAACGCCCGGACCTACGTTTCCCCCCCACGCCCGCCGCGGCCCCGACGGGAAGTCCCGCCCCCGAACGGAAGCTGTGTTCCCGCAGGAAGTTCCGCCTGCGCGGGGGCTGAGCCCTGGATAGTGACCTTCCGCGGAAGCTGTCGGGTGTGTGGCGATCTTGCTGTGGTCGGTCCCCGCGGGTCCTGGGCTGGCCTTCCTTCCCGGAGCTCTCCGCGTCGGCTTGCCGTTTTGTCTCCTCCCGTGGAGGCACGTGTGTAAGCTCGGCCGGTGCTGCTGGCCGTGGGGGCTCACGCTGTGTAAGCCCCTAACTGTGTGAATGGAGACCTGAAGGCGCCCCTCGCCGGGCCCGCGGGCACGTCTGAGGGGACGTCGGATGGTCCGGGGGCCGGAACTCGGCGGCCGCGGCTGGGTGGACGTCACACAGGGGCGTTCCAGCGTGTCCGCACCGGCGGCCCGGCGTTGAAGAAAAAGGTTGAAAGCGTTCTCCCCACGGTAGAGCCCAGTACGCAGGGAGGAAGCCCGAAATCCTTATTTCAGATCCGAGCCTCTATGGACCCTGGAAGTGAGCATACTTTTGCGACCTAAAAAGTTTGTTACGATATTGTGAGGTGGAAGTAAGATGAGTGCTTTTCAGAAGTTAAACTTTGACTGAAAATTAAACTTGAGGATATTTGCCAGTAACCCCAGTGACACTCTTTTCATTCCTGTCCTAAAACAAATTAGAAGTATCTCTGGAATATCTATCCAATCACTTGAATAAGTTTTTTTCTTATGTGTGGGAGAAGTTATGTGAGGACAGAATGAAAGAGGAAAAAAGTAAGCCTAAGTAAAAAAAAAAAAAGAAAAAGGTGAATTGGCACATCATGCCATAGGAACAGAGTTGTAAAAGTTCTAATTGGAAGTTCTGGGTTCACAGACAGAATTTTGAAGAAATAAGGGCCTAGTAGTTTTTTATTCTTGGAGAACAAAAGGATGCTTTAGTCCTCCTCCACCAAGGCCCAAACGGCATTTATGTATTTGGAAGACAGTATAGGGAAAGGGAAAGTTAAGTCGCTCAGTCATATCCGACTCTTTGCGACCCTGTGGACTGTAGCCCACCAGGCTCCTCCATCCATGGGATTCTCCAGGCAAGAATACTGGAGTGGGTTGCCATTTCCTTTTCCAGGACTCCTCTTGAGGTCTGTATAATATGTGAGTTCCCGCACTAACACCCTTGAAACAATGGTGAAGACTAAAATAGCAAACAAATAATGTGCTGAATTTTGAGATAGACATTTAGACATTGTAGGAATTTTAAAACTAGATGAATGGTAAATAGGAAAGTTTTAGGAAGAGAAGCACCTGCCAGAACAGACTATTGAAGTCGTAAGGCTCATGATCTGTTTGCAGGAAAGTAAGCCTGATCTGACTCGAGCAGAGGACTGGGTGGGTAATGTGGGTCCAGGCTGCATAAGGGCTGAAAGTCAAACAGAAGAATTGGATTCAGTGTAATGTGATTGGACAAGTTTTCTACTCCCATCCTCTGACAGACCTGAGGAGGTCATGAGAATGTGGATTAGAATGATGCCACGTTGAGGGAAACAAAGCATGGGTTATGAGAAACATTTTTAAAGGAGAAAAGGAGAGGACCTGGAAATTGAGTAGTTGATGGGTGATTAGGTAGAAGGATGCCAAAGACGTCTGGTTTTCAAGCCCAAGTGCCTTAGAGGATAAGTGTGGTGCAGGGAAGGGAGGGAAAACTGATGTGTAGTGTTGGATTTCACTTGGTAATGAGGTGAAAGAAAGTATCAAGTACATAGAAACAGTGTTTTACAGATGCTAACAGTGCTCTGATAATAGTGAGTAAGTATCTTTTGATTAAGTGAGAGATCCTTTCACCTTCTGGGTCCCAACACTTCTTTTTGTGCAAATCAGTATTTATTTCCATACAAAGATAGTAAAGGCAAAGGAGAAAGGGAAAGATATACCCATCTGAAAAAAAAAAAGATATGCCAAGTTCCAAAGAAGAGCAAGGAGAGAGGAGAAAGACTTCTTAAGTGATCAATGCAAAGAAATAAAGAAAACAATAGAATGGGAAAGACTAGAGATCTCTTCAAGAAAATTAGGGATACCAAGGGAACATTTCACGCGAAGATGGACACAAAGTACAGAAATGGTATGAACCTAACAGAAGCAGAAAATAGAAGAGGTGGCAAGAATACACAGAAGAAATATACCAAAAAGATCTTAAGGACCCAGATAACCACCATGGTGTGACCACTCACCTAGAGCCAGACATCCTGGAATGTGAAGTCAAGTGGGCTTCAGGAAGCATCACTACAAACAAAGCTACTGGAGGTGATGGAATTCCAGCTGAGCTATCTAAAATTGTAAAAGATGACACTGTGAAAGTGCTACAGTGAATATGCCAGCAAATTTGGAAAACTCAGTAGTGGCCACAGGACTGGAAAAGGTCAGTTTTCATTCCAGTTCCAAAGAAAGGCAGTGCCAAAGAATGTGAAAACTACTGCACAATCGTACTCATCTCACATGCTAGCAAAGTAATGCTCATAATTTTCCAAGCTAGGTTCCAGTAAACTGAGAACGTTCAGATGTTCAAGCTGGATTTAGAAAAGGTTAGAGGAACCAAAGATCAAATTGCCAACATTGGTTGGGTCATAGAAAAAGCAAGAGAATTCCAAAAAAAAATCTGCTTCATTGACTATGCTAAAACCTTTAACTGTGTGGATCACAACAAGCTGTGGAAAATTCTTAAAGAGATGGGAATACCAGACCCCCTGACCTGCCTTCTGAGAAACCTGTGTGCAGGTCAGAAAGCAACAGTCAGAACCAGACATGGATCAATGGACTGATTCCAAACTAGGAAAGGAGTACGTCAAGGCTGTATGTTGTCACCCTGCTTATTTAACTTATATGCAGAGTACATCATGCGAAATGCCAGGATGGATAAAGCACAAGCTAGAGTCAAGATTGCCGGGAGAAGTATCAATAACCTCAAATACACAGATGACACCACCCTTGTGGCAGAAAGTGAAGATGAACTAAAGTCTCTTGATGAAAGTGAATGAGGAGAATGAAAAAGTTGGCTTAAAACTCAACATTCAGAAAACTAAGATCATGGCATCCGGTCCCATCACTTCATGACAAATAGACGGGGAAACAATAATGATAGACTTAATTTTCTTGGACTCCAAAATCACTGCAGATGGTGACTGCCAGCCATGATATCGAAAGATGCTTCTTGGAAGAAAAGCTATGACAATTCTAGACGGCATATTAAAAAGCAGAGATATTACTTTGCCGACAAAGGTCCATCTAATCAAAGCTATAGTATTTCCACTAATCATGCATGGGTTTGAGACTTGGACCATAAAGACGGCTGAGCATTGAAGAATTGATGCTTTTGAATTGTGGTGTTGGAGAAAACTCTTGAGAGTCCGTTGGACTGCAAGGATATCAAACCAGTCAACCCTAAAGGAAATCAGTCTTGAATATTCATTGGAAGGACTGTTGCTGAAGCTGAAGCTCCAATACTCTGGCCACCTGATGCGAAGAGCTGACTCATTGGAAAGGACCCTGTTGCTGGGCAAGATTGAAGGTGGGAGGAGAAGGGGATGACAGAGGGTGAGATTTTTGGATGACATGACTGACTTGATAGACACGAGTTTGAGCAGGCTTTGGGAGATGGTGAACGACAGAGACATCTAGAGTGCTGCAGTCCATGGGGTTGCAAAGAGTTGGACACAGCTGAGTGACTAAACAACAACCATACAAAGTTACTGTGACTTTTCCATACTCAGACTAGTTTTTTATGTTTCCAATAACTTTCATGAATGACATTTTAGATATTCCCCCCTCACACCAAAAAAAAAAAAAAAAAAAACCAACAACAACCCAAACACAGGGCCACCAACTTCAGTATGGGTCTTCCCTGATAGCTCAGTGGTAAAGAATCTGCCTGCAGTGCAGGAGACACAGGAGATGTGGGTTTGATCCCTGGGTTGGGCATAGCAACGCAGTCCAGTATTCTTGCCAGGAAAATCCCATGGACAGAGGAGCCTGGTGGGCTACAGTCCATGGGGTCACAAACAGTTGGACATGACTGACAGACCAAGGAGCACCCACAGCAGCTTCAGTCTAGTAGCTCTCTCTGGGTGGGGAAGAGGAAGGAATTTAGATGGAAAGGAAGGGTTATTTATTTGAAATACTTCTTTGCATGTTGTCTTTACTTCTAATTTTTTTACATATTAAACCTGAATAACTTGTCATATTCAGAATCATAAATAGTATTCTAGAATCCCAGCTGCACTGCTTGCCAGCTGTGTCGCGGCAACTGACTTAACATCTCTTATGTTTCAGTTTCCTTATCTGTAAAAACAGGTAATAACAGTACCTAGCTCATGAGATTGTTGTGAGCTTAAACATGTTTATGTGTGTTTGCTATTATACTATACGCTGTTTTTATTCTTTTGAAGCATTTTAAAATTAGAGTACCACAAGAGAATTTTGAAGATGTCTTAGAATTTGTTGCAATGGTATTTGACAAGAATGAACTGTAAGAAGCTTTTTTGTGGTAGTCACTTGATGACTTTTTCCTCCATGTAAAAAAGTTTTGTTGCAGCTGCTAGCACAAATAAACTTAATGAAAAAGGTTGAACTTATAATGCTTAAAAGACTCCAACAATTTATTTCGTAAATGTGAATGTAACTGTTAACACAGAAATTTAAGGTCAGCTAATTCTTATTTCCATCTTTCTTTTTCTAATGAGATGTCAACATTGGAAATTACTCACAGAATGTACTCACTCAGCCAATTGACACCAGCATTTCTTCCTTGAGAAAATTTGAACCCCTTTGCCAGTTTCATCAGACAGAATCATTTAATAATGAAATAGCAGTTCAAGATCTGACGGAAAGCTTATCTTATACAGAGGAGCCAGCATTGCAGCATTATGTATGTGATTATGCAGAAGACACCAATATACAGGAAGACCCATTTAAGGAAGAAAACCCAATGGGAACTAGCACTTTCACACATACAGATCAATTTGCTCTTGAGTGTGTCAGACAGCCTTCTAGAAGCCCACCTCTAATCCACTGCAGTGAAGAGACACTGAAATTCATGGAAATGCCACTTGCTAATAGTACTGCCACAGAATCTGCCCTCAATTCTAGTCAGTCTCAAGACTTCTTGTGTGAGGAAGAAGTACACAGTGATGTTGAACAACCATTGTATAAAGAAAATCTGAGAGCTAATTATGAAACAGAGGAGGTAAGACTTTTAATGATTAGTACAGACCACAGAGTATTAAAGGATGTGTTTTTAAAAAAGAAAATTACTGCTTATAATCTGAGGCTTTTGGAAGTAGTCCTAAATCATCAGCGTGAGAGACATTGCTTCTCTGAGGAAACTGCCTTCTGAGATCTTCCTCAATTTAGAAACAGTCCTTTCTAATAAAATCAGATCCACACTTGGAGATTAGCTCTACCACATGATAATTTCTTTGAGGGTCAGGATGCTATCTTACTCATCCCTTTATGCACCCCACATCTACATGATGCCTTGAGTATATCAATACTGAGCTTTTATGGCCTTCCCTGGTGGCTCAGACAATAAAGAATCTGCCTGCAATGCAGGAGACCCAGGTTCGATCCCTAGGTTGGGAAGATTCCCTGGAGCAGGGAATGGCTACCAACTCCAGTATTCTTGTCTGGAGAATCCCATGAACAGAGGAGCCTGGTGGGCTACAGTCTGTGAGGTAGCAAAGAGCTGGACACAACTGAGGGACTAACACATTCCTTTTCAAGTTTTTATACTTAGTGAATCATATTGATTAGAACTCAGAAGTTTACAGTAAGGAAAAGGTTGAAAAGAGGAAGAAATGCAGAGGTATTAATTAAATTATTTGACAAGAAAAGCTCATGATTTTGCTATTATGTGGAATTTCTACTGATCAGCCAAAAAACAACATTATTCTCCCAAAGTGAAAACATGAATTTGTCTTTGAATTGTTAATTCTGGGTATGTAGTGTCATAAGAGCACTGAAGATGCCAACAGTATAAAGTCTATATAGTCTGTCAATTAAAAAAATAAATAATAAGAATTGGTGTGGGCAAATAACAATCCCAAAGATAGCATAAACAATACCTTTTCATTGTGAGTTTGGTGAGAAAAGCTATGGCTGTTATATTTCACTTACAAGTAAAATCAGGATTTTTTGTTCATTTTATTTGGAAGCAACATTTAAAAGATGAGTCTATTTACCTGTCTTGAGTTCTGGAAAATAACATTTAAAAAGCTGCTGAATTAGGATCTCTCAAGATTGTAACTATATCCATTGCATCTAGCCCTTCAGTCAGTCAGTAAATACTTTAAGGCATCTATTATGTCTGAGGCCTTGTGCTATGTGTTGGTTATAGAATGGTTGACAAAACCAGAAACAAAAAGATGTGGGCACTGTCCTCATGACAAGAACACTCTCATAAAGGAGACAGACATTAATCAAATAATCACACAAGTAAATATGAATTTTCGACTATGAAAAGTGCTGCAAATAAAAGTTCAGTATAAAGTTATATGTTATAAAATTACATATAAATTGGCAGCTGTGGTAAATGCTATAAATAAAGATGGGGGTCTTCCTGTCCCTAGTCAGGGAATTTAGGTAAGACTTCCCCGAAGTGTAGTGGTGACAGAGCTCATTTCCGCAGGATGAGTGGGGGTAGTTAGGTGGTGGGCATGGGAGAGCATTCCACACAGAAGTATTGAGAGCAACTAGCGTGAAAACCTTGTAGCTTCAGGGAGCATGGTCCCTTCCTTTGTGGATCTGAAGGCAGCTTAGTGTTGCTGGGTTGGAGGGATGTTGTAGAGGATGGAAAGGTAGCATGGGTTAGATACCAAGATCAATATCAAGACCTTACAGGCTTCAGTAAGGATAGTTGTCTTTATCCCAGTATGATGAAAAAACCCTATAATATAAGGGTCCAATATCCCTAAATTCTATTTGGAAAGTTATTCAATCCATCCCTTTAGAGATCTTTTACTGGCTTATTCTGTCATGTTTGTTTTAGTGTTTACTACAACTTCCCAGGGCTTTCCAGGTGGCTCAGATGGTAAAGTGTCTGCCTGCCATGCAGGAGACCCAGGTTCGATGCCTGGGTCGGGAAGAACCCCTGGAGAAGGAAATGGCAACTTACTCCATTATACTTGCCTGGAAAATTCCATGGACAGAGGAGCCTGGTAGGCTACAGTCCATAGAGTCTCAAAGAGTTGGACACGACTGAGTGACTTTACCTTCACTTTCCTACAACTTACTGTTGTTTTTTTTAAGCGCCCCCCTTCTCCCAAATCTGTATTGTGAGCAGAAAGTCATTCACAAGATATGTTCATCTGACTTGCTAATGTTCCCATTAGAAGTCATAGCATTGTGAGGTAATGGTTTGATGAGGAATCAAAAGGTCATTATTCAAAAGAGGGCTCACCATATATGATAAACCCATAGCAAACATTATCCTCAATGGTGAAAAATTGAAAGCATTTCCCCTAAAGTCAGGAACAAGACAAAGGTGCCCACTCTTACCACTACTATTCAGCATAGTTTTGGAAGTTTTAGCTACAGCGATTAGAGAAGAGAAAGAAATGAATCCAGATTGGAAAAGAAGAAGTAAAACTCTCACTGTTTGCAGATGACATGATCCTCTACATAGAAAACCCTAAAGACTGCACCAGAAAATTACTAGAGCTAATCAATGAATATAGTAAAGTTGCAGGATATAAAATTAACACACAAATCCCTTGTATTCCTGTACACTAACAATGATAAAACAGAAATTAAGGAAACAATTCCATTCTCCTTAGCAACAAAAAGAATAAAATACTTAGGAATAAATCTACCTAAAGAAACAAAAGACCTATATATAAAAAACTGTAAAACACTGATGAAAGAAATCAAAGATGACACAAATAGATGGAGAAATATACCATGTCATGGATCTGAAGAATCAATAAAAATGAGTATACTATCCAAGGCAATCTATAGATTCAATGCAATCCCTATCAAGCTACGAATGGGATTTTTCAGAGAACTAGAACAAATAATTTCACAATTTATATGGAAATACAAAAAACCTTGAATAGCCAAAGCAATCTTGAGAAAGAAGAATGGAACTGGAGGAATCAACCTGCCTGACTTCAG